GAGTCCAGCCCGGCATCACATGTGGTTGCTCACTCAAGCCCGCCCGCCGCCGCTCACTCAAGCTGGCCTCCGCTCACTCTAGGCCGCTGGCCGCCGCTAAATCTAGCCCACAGTGTGTGACACTGTGTTTCGTTGTGAAAGCAAAACTACTTTGTTTGGCCTTCCAAAAGAGGACACGACTAGAAATCAGTGGTTAAGTTGTATTTACAACACTGTTCCAGAACAGTTCAATCCAAATATTCAGATGTGTCCAGCGCATTTTATGGAGGACCGTTTCCTGATCCTGGTAGAGTAGACTACAATGCCGGCTGTTCTGACTCACAGACTGTAAGTAAATTTTTTATATTTAAAGAATTTGCCACTGACGATTCAAACGCGAGTTTTGAGCAGTGTAGAGTAGCGTTTGTAGTTTGTCATTTTTCCGATCACAAATGCAGACATGGTTTTATGTTACGCGGCGTGATGCAGTGCAATGCGTAAAAAGACAGTATAAGTCATTATAATCCATAATTATGTCCCCACTGGATGCAACAAATGCCTCGTTTATAATGGGTTTTAATGTTTTTGTCTCGTCGCTCCGGCCGGGACAAGGCATCACAATATGGTAAGTGGCGTAACATTTCCGTCACACGCTTGAGGTATTCGGCCAATCACAACGCACTGGATAGCTGGCCAATCAGAGCACACGTCACTTTTCAGACCGATGAGCTTTGTAAAAATCGACGCGTTTCAGAAAGGCGGGGCATAGAGGAGAAACAATAATGTACAGTATATGGAAAATAATGTGTTTTTTTAACCTTAAACTGCATAAACACATTTCATTACACCAAATACACAAAATAATGTTATTTTTAGCAACGTCATATGACCCCTTTAAAGCACTTACACTGCATTATCAATGTATGTGTCCTGGCCTGCTTGCTGTATCTGGCTGCAGTTTGATTAAATTTGGAGCTCATCCAGGATGACACTCCTAGAGAGAATTATATTCCCAAACCAAAATGTATCTAGAAATTATTTAGGGTTTAATGAAGTGTTGAAATGAAGTGTTTAATTTCCACTACTACAAGTACTGCACAAATCTGCAGTGAGATTCAGAGCTAGTTCTGTTCAGTTCAAGACTCTGATTAAAACTTTGACTTAGTTCAAGATTTAAAGTTCTTGAAAAATGTTCTAAAAATGCATTTGGTGTAAATGATTGAGAAAAATAGTTCCAGAACCAAAGGCTGCTGCAAAAGTGGGTGCTCGAAGTTAAGCAAAATGTAAAATGATTTGCAGTGGCATAAAGGCATGTTACAAATTACAGTTCTGATATTGTGTTTGTTAGATTGTTTTTAAGATTCTGTACCTGAGGAAGTAAACATAAAGGAAGGTGAAGGAGAGGATGCAGTGGACACTGTACAAGAAGAGTGTGATGATGATGCCTGCTGCGCCCGACTGCTCAGTCCGAAAGAAATGCCAGTACAGCTTAGCAGCATCTGCTAACGGTTCCTCTGCACTGTAGGACAGACGCTGACCAAACAAAACACGTTTCACAAAATCACAACTGTCTCACCTATATAAAACATAAATATACAGACATATCATTTGTAGAAAATGAAAAACTCTGTCATGTTCAGGTTGGCCCATTTTAGCCACAAATTCTACAATAAATGCAACCAAATACATCCAGCTGCAAGTCAAAAAAACAAAAGATTAATCTGGGATCTAAATTGGGGTCTCCATGTTTTTAAAAAGCCGACCTTCTGATCATATAAACATTTCACACTACTGTTGTTTGTTTATTTTTCTGGTAATTTAATTTTGCTGTTAATTTATCATGTTTGTCCCTTTATTTATTCGGTTTAAATGTAAAAGTGCAAAAGCATTAGGAAAATTAAAACCATTTTAAATACATACAGAGTATAAACACATATTTATTATGATTTTTTTTTTAATATGCGTGTTGTAAGTCTTGCAGTGTCAGTGGGTTTTTTTTGGTTTCACCTGCAATATGAAGTTGTAGGGAAGCATTATTTTAACCCTTGTGAAAGAAGTACACTTGTGCATACTTTAAAAAAAAAAAGTATTATAGAAATAATATGCTTTAAAAGAATATTCAGTGTGAACTGAATACAATGCAGACACTTTTATTACATGCTATATAAATGAAAATTAGGGCTGGGTTTTGACACAAATTTCACAATTCGATTCGATTCGATTACCAATTCAATTTGATTCGATTCAATATAGATTATTTTTGATACATATCAGGTACAGTACATGCCAAATTTTCTCAAGCAAAAAAAAATCTCTCAACTAATGCTGTAAAATATACATGAGAGTCAGTTGGTACTACATTATAATATTGAAGGTTAAAATTGACTGTTCCCTTTCAGTCGGTCACTACAAGTCACGTTGTGACCGACAAATTGGGATCTCGCTTAGAGAGACCAATCTACTATCCTGATCACAGCATGAGCATAAAAAGGCAGCCGGTGCAACGCATACCAGCTTTTCCCTTCGGAGCCGAGTGACAACATCGTTCTGCTCCTACCAACTGCTTCGTGTGTGACGTGTTTAGCGCACCCTAGGGAGCTTCTTGTGTTGGTGGACAGCACTTCATCGGTGGTCGTTCCTGTGTCGAGTGGGTTGCGCACTTCAGGCTGCACTACCCCCTGTCGTGCTGCAAGCGGCCATCT